TATTTACTTGGAAAAATTCAAGCACTGAAATATTGAAAATAATTATTCAGCTACTATCTCCTTATGTAGGGAATTTATTTTTCGTTTTTAAAATTCAACTACTATTCCTTCATCTTAAACGAAATAGAATGAACACATCTCATAAATATCTTAGTTACTCTATTATATAGCAAAATTTTAAACAAAGGCCCCGCAACACCAATGAATTTCACTTGGTCTGTGATGTGCTTTTGCCTCGTTTTCGCACTTAGTCGCATTGTCAGAGGCACGGATAAATAAACCTTGTTCAGAGTTTTTTCCATAGCTTTAATGAGCAATTCTACCGTCGGACCGTAAACTTGGCATATTCCCCGACATTTCGCAAGCATAATCAGCGTGCCCTGCCATTCGTAGCACAGTAAAGCCTACATCATTTTGTTCTTCACAGCTCTTATTTCACTTAATCTGCCCTCGTAAAAAGCAGTTTTATTCAAGGTGAACTATAGTTTCGATGTATACGCGAAGAAAGTTGGGTTTCGAGGAATCTCTTGTTTTATAATTGTTGAGCTTACTTACATTTCGAGTGAGTGTTTGGTGAAGAGATTCTAAAGTCGATCCCTCCAGAAGGCGACAGCGGATTACACTTGATCAGCTGTCGGTTGGCTTTACCTTAACATGCTTGTTGACGCTGTTTCCGAGGTCATCTCCTTCGATTACGATGAAAAGGTGCTAAGCTTCAGTCCGTCGTATGACCAACGTCATCAGAGCAGGGTATCATCCTTACAAACAAAGTTTTCTATATTTGTTAGCTTAAAATTCGTTGTAAGGACGATTCCCTGATCTGACGATGTTCGTCATAGGACGGACGAAAGCTTAGCACGTTTTCGCCAGAATCGAAGGAGATTACTTCGGAAACAGCGTCAACAAGAATGTTCCAGTAGAGCCAATTGACAGCTAATCAGGAGGAATTCGCTGTCGTCTTCTCGTGGGATCGACCTTCGAATCTCTTCACCATGATTTGACCCATATTAGATCTAAGGAAAACATTGCAAAGCTGCACTCATTAATTAAAACAAAGACTAGCCTTAGGCAAATCTTGTCCGAGGCTATTAGTTCGGAAGAATTCTCTTAGCTCCAAAAAATAGCGGATAGGTTACAAGACGATGTTTTTCGGTAAGTTAGGAAGACATGATAAGAAATAGAGAGATGTGTGTATAAGAATTAGCCCAAGAAAACTATCCATATTTAATGAAATGAAAAGGGAATTAAAGCTGTTGCTTAAAAGTGGAATATCTGTCCAAAACTTCATTGGGCATTTCTAAGGTCAAAAAAGGGCTCAAACTTTACCTTTCCAAATCATAAGGACCAGGGGAGGAAATTTTGGCAGAATTGATAAGTTTAACGGATAGTTTCCTAAGGGATATCAGGAG